TCTTCTTTGCTTTCTCTCTGTAATATATGTGGCTTGTTTTGTTGGTCTCTATAATTGTTTAGAAATAATAGATTAGACTAGTGGCATTTGCTGAATAGTTAATCTGTACAGGCATTGTACTCAGAATTTTACATTATTATCTCATTTAATCTTAAAAAAACTCTGTGATGTGGGTATGTCCCATCCATTAACCCCACTCTATAGATGATGAACAGAGACTTAAAGAGGTTTAACTAAGTGCCAATGTTGCTCCGCTAATTAATTGCAGAGTAGGGTACACAACCCTAGTTTGGGCAGATTCTAGAGCTTCTGTTCTTAACGGTGGCACACCATGCATTAATTAGAATTAGGTTCTGGTAGCATATACAACGGAATGATGAGCTGGGGGAAGGAATTGGACAGATCTATCCAGTGTGGAAATCTGTCATTATTAACTGTATTACCCAATCTATTTACATTTATTATTACTGATATCTTCGGATTTCTTTCTTTATCTGGAAAAAAATAAATCAGGTTAAAAAGTCTATTTTTTACTTTTTACTGGTTTTATTTTTTTTAAAGATTATTTATTTATTTGAGATAGAGAGAGCATAAGTGGGGTGAGGAGCAAAGGGAGAAGCAGACTCCCCACTGAGCAGGGAGCTGGATGTGGGGCTTGATCCTGGGGCTCCGAAGGTGGACACTTAACAGACTGAGCCACCCAGGTGCCCCTCTTTGCTGGTTTTAAAGATACGAATTAAAATTCTTTTCTTATAGTTGTTAGTTACCCTTGTAATATTAACTTGCCTACCTACCTTTTAAAAATCTAATGATAGGGGCACTTGGCTAGCTCAGTCAGTGGAGTGTGTGACTCCAGATCTCGGGATTGTAAGGTTGAGCCCCATGTTGGGTGTAGAGATTTCTTAAAAATAAAATCTTAAAAAAAAAAATAAATAATTTTAAAAATCTAAAGATAATTAATATCTTTACTTCAAATAATATTTTAACTCTAGTAACTCAGGCTTACATTATTACCATGGGCCAACCACTTTTTTCTACCTTGCTGGGTTTTACTAACCCCATACATCAAACATCATTATCACTGTTTTGTAGCCAACCAGGGTTTGTTTAGAATTACCCACATCTCAGATCTTCTTTCTAGCACTGTTTTTGTTTTTTTGTGAGACATATCCTTTGGAAATTCCTTTAGTGCAAGATAAATTTCTTTTTACTTATTCTTCTTGGAATTTACTGGAATTCCTAAATATGTGGATTACTGCCTTTCATCAGTTACAAAAAATCCTCAGCCACTGTTACTTTGAATGTTGGCTCTCCCCCCTTTCCATTATCTCCTTCTAGAACTCTGTTAGGACAGATGGCAATGTCTCACTTCACTAACACGTATCTTAATTAGCCTTTCATAGTCTCTATCATTTTTGTTCCTGGGCTGCATTCTTTGAAATTCCTTCAGATTTATTCTCTAGGTCAGTATTTAAATTTTGTCCATTATGCTGCTTAACTTTTCAGATTTTTTCCTGGATATTTTATTATGATAATTTTCAAAATACAGGTAAGTTGAATTTTACACTAAACTCCCATATACTTACCCCAGTTGCATATTCTACAATTAACATTTTGCTATACTTACTTTCTCACATATCTATCCCATCTACTCTATGTATCCATCAATCCAACTTTTTATGTGTGTATCAAAGTTGCGGCATCAATAAATTTACCCCAAATTCTTCCATTTAGTTTTTATTTTTGATTTTTTTTCCATTTCTCAAAGGTCTATTTGTTCCTTGTTCATATCTATCTGGTCATTTCTGATGTTTCCTTGTTTATCACTTACCTTTCCATGTCCTTCTTTTACTTCTCAAACATATTAGACCTATTTACTTTATAGTCTGTAAGGCCATATTTTAACAATTAAAAATACAGAATGCCTAGTTAAATTTGAATTTCAGGCAAACAACACATTTTTAGTATAAGTATGTCCCAAATAGTGCATGGGATATATTTATACTTAAAATTTACTTATTACTTATCTGAGGTTCAAATTTAATTGGGTGCCCCTGTATTTTATCTGGCCATCATCTGATAATTCCCATATCTGAAGTCTTTATAGGACTGGCTCATTTGTTTTGCTGAATCTTACCCATGATGGCTTGTTTCCTTGTGTGTTTTGTGATTTGGGGTTGTTCACTCATCTTTGAGTTTCATGGTCAGATTTCCTCTAGGCTTTAGTTGAGGGTACATTCCTTCTTGCTTCTGCCAGGTGTCTGGGACACTATAGATCTGGTGTACTTTAAACTAAAAATTTCAGCTGAAGGCTTTCTAGACCATGCAAAGAGTGAAAATTTGGGCCAGGCAGCCTAAAAAAAAAAAAAAAAAAAAAGCTAGTAGCCACAAAATGTCAATGGAGTGTTTTTCTTTCTTTTTAAAAAACTTCTGTACAAAGAAAATGTGGAAACAATTTTGGTTGTTGTCTGCCTTTTCTAATTGTATTCTCCTAGCTCAAAGTCTTACTGTTGCTGAGTCATGGGCCTTATATTTTTGGGTGTGAGGAACTTACCATCCCGCACAGACCCAGTGCTTCATACCAGGTGCCCCAGGGCAGAGGTTTTGAGTTATTATGCAGTATCTTCAGTGTTTCGTTTGTTCATTCCTTCCTTCCACGGACTTCTGTGCTGGTTTGTTCCTGGCATCAAAGGATTCCACCTGAATTCTTCAGAGGCATCCATTTATTTAAATGAGTGATTTTAATTGGTTGGCTTTTTAGATGTTTTGTAGACTCTCCAGTTAGAGTTATTGCTAGAAACCTGTGTTCTGTAGTCAGCAAACCGTTTTTGGATTTTATAAAGAGTTGCCTCAGGTGTTGTTAAATATGGAGATCTAAACCAGGCAGACCCTATCTGATTATAACGTGTGTAAAACCAAATAAGCAGAATTCCATCTTATTTTAGAAGCCAATCTTTTTCTAGGTATGCCACATGATATAAAAGTAAATCAGTTAAAGTGGCCACATTAAAACAAACAAACAAACAGTGCAACTGGAATGGCCAGCTTCACCAGTTCAGTGCACAAATAACCTCATATTCCTTTAATGGAAAGTAACCCACCTTATTGGAGGGAGAGCTCGAGCCACTGATTGTGATCAGTGATCCCCATTTCCCATTATTGTGGAGCCCACCCTCCATGCCTGGGGCTCCCTGGGTATAGGCGCTTCATTTCATATTCACACACTCTGCCTTAATTTCTCAAACTTCTCCACGGAGCCTGGATGGCTGGGTCAGAAGGAGTGTCCAGCCTCCCACCCTGTGACAGTGTTCCTGGTTACCCTGCCACCCTGATAATCTAGCCTGGGTTTTGGTTTAGATTCTCCTTCCCTCTAATAAGGGGGGATACCACGTGCCTGAGGACACGTGGTATCTCTTCCTGATGGAGGATGTCAGACAGGCCTGACTCAATACAGCTGAAATATCCTGACATTGTAGCTCAGGAGGGGAGAAATGAAGGTCTCAATTCTAGAATGCCCTGGAGGAATCTTGGTCTTTCTGCAAAATTTCCTTTCCCTTTGGCATCATAGTAAGGAATATTGGGAGGGGTAGTCTTTGTCAATTTGTTAACAAATGCCCATGCTGTATACTTATCCTGGGGCATTAAATGCTTAATTAAGAAGTTGCATGCAGGGGTGCTCAGTCAGTTAGGCAACCCACTCTTGATTTCAGCTCAGATCATGATCTCAGGTTTGTGAGACTGAGCCCCGTGTAGGGCTCTGCACTCAGTGTGGAGTCTGCTTGGGAATTTTTTCCCTCTTTTTCTTCCTCCCCTTTTACCCTTCCCCAAGTTCCTGTGTTCTCTCTCTCTCTCAAATAAATTAATTAAACCTTTAAAAAAAAAAAGAAAGAAAAAGAAAACGCATGCAAATGATTTGCTTTAGAAAAAAAATTGCTCCCAAGATGAGGTGCCTTATGATCTCCAATACTAGACATCAAAGCAGATTGAACCTTTTAATTATTAGCTTATGCCTTAAAAGAAAGTACAGTTTGGGGCACCTGCCTGACTCAGTCAGTAGAGAGCATGTGGCTCTTGATCTCTGGGTCATGAGTTTGAGCCCCACTTTGGGTGTAGAGATCACTTAAAAATAAAATCTTTTTAAAAATATACAAGTGTTTACCTCACCAGAAAACCTCTACAGAAGAGTGTATAGTTTCCCCACAGATGGATTATTCACTGCAAGGAGAAGACTAGTAACTCTACAGTAGTAAAACCAGGCAATAACTAGACCAGGTGATCAGACTTGACTTCACAAACTAAACATGTTTTTTAAATAAGAAAGTTCTTGAATCAATACCTTTATCTTCCAACTTAAGAAATTAGAAAAAGGAGGGGCGCAGGGGTAGCTCACTTGTTAAGAGTCTGCCTTTGGCTCAGGTCATGATCCCAGGGTCCTGGGATCAAGCCCCACATCCTCAGTAGGGAGTCTGCTTCTCCCTCTTCCTCTGCCCCTTCCCTCGCCCCTTCCCCTGCTTGTGCAAGCTCTCTCTCAAATAAATAAATAAAAATCTTTCAAAATAATAATAATAATAAAGAAATTAGAAAAAGGAGAGAAAACCCAAGGCAAACAGGAGGGGGGAAATAACAAAGATTTCAGTGGAAATAAATGAAATAAAGAATGGAAAACAGTAGAGGAAATCAACCAGACCAAAGTTTGGATCTTAAAACAGATAAACCAAAGTGATAAACTTTTAGCTAGAATGAAGAATGCAAAAGAGAGAAAACTCAAATTCCTAAAATGAGAAATGAAAAAGGGGATAACCAACTTCACAGGGAAAAAGAATTAAAAGGGAATAAGATGAACAACTGTGTGTATCTAAATTAGGTAACTACATGAAATGGACAAACTCCTAGAAAGACAAAAAGCACCAAAACTGGCTCAAGAAAAAACAGAAAATCTGAAAATACCTACAAGAGGTTAAAGGATTGAGTTAGTAATTTAAAAACTTCCCACAGGGATAGGGAGCGATCTCCGAGCGAGGCAGCAAGATGGACGCGGGATTCTTCCGCGGAACAAGTGCAGAACAGGATAATCGGTTCAGCAACAAACAGAAGAAGCTACTGAAGCAGCTGAAATTTGCAGAATGCCTAGAAAAAAAGGTGGATATGAGCAAAGTAAATTTGGAGGTTATAAAGCCTTGGATAACAAAACGAGTAACGGAAATCCTTGGGTTTGAAGATGATGTTGTGATTGAGTTTATATTCAACCAGCTGGAAGTGAAGAATCCACACTCCAAAATGATGCAAATCAACCTGACTGGGTTTTTGAATGGAAAAAATGCTAGAGAATTTATGGGAGAACTGTGGCCCCTGCTCTTAAGTGCACAAGAAAACATCGCTGGAATCCCTTCCGCTTTTCTAGAACTGAAGAAAGAAGAAATAAAACAGAGACAAATTGAACAAGAAAAGTTGGCATCTATGAAAAAGCAAGATGAAGACAAGGATAAGAGGGATAAGGAAGAAAAAGAAAGCAGCAGAGAAAAAAGGGAAAGGTCTCGAAGGCCAAGAAGATGCAAATCCAGATCTCCTTCCCCTAGAAGACGATCTTCCCCTGTCAGGAGAGAGAGAAAGCGCAGTCATTCTCGATCTCCCCGTCACAGAACCAAGAGCCGGAGTCTTTCCCCTGCTCCGGAAAAGAAGGAAAAACTCCAGAGCTCCCAGAACCATCGAAAGTAAAAGAACCTTCAGTACAAGAGGCCAGTTCTACTACTGACATCCTGAAGGTTCCCAAACCTGAAACTGTATCAGAGCCTGAAGAACCTTCTCCAAAGAAAAATTCCAAAAAAGAAAAAGAGAAGGAGAAGACCCGACCAAGATCTCGGTCATGTACCAAATCAAGATCCCGGACACGGTCTCGCTCTCCTTCTCATACTCGACCTAGACGGCGTCATAGATCCTGATCAAGATCATACTCACCTAGAAGGAGGCCAAGTCCGAGAAGGCGGCCATCTCCTCGAAGAAGAACCCCACCAAGACGAATGCCGCCTCCACCCAGGCATAGAAGGAGTAGATCTCCAGTGAGACGAAGAAGGCGTTCGTTCATCAGCATCCTTGTCTGGAAGTATCTCATCATCCTCTTCGTCCCGTTCCCGGTCACCGCCAAAGAAGCCTCCTAAGAGGACATCCAGCCCCCCTCGAAAAACTCGTAGGTTATCTCCTTCAGCAAGTCCTCCCAGGCAAAGGCATAGGCCATCGCCTCCAGCAACTCCACCGCCAAAAACTCGTCATTCCCCAACACCCCAGCAGTCAAACTGTACGAGAAAAAGTCGTGTTTCTGTCTCTCCAGGGAGAACTTCAGGTAAAGTGACAAAACATAAAGGTACTGAGAAAAGAGAGTCCCCTTCACCAGCACCTAAGCCTAGAAAAGTAGAGTTATCTGAATTGGAAGAAGATAAAGGTGGCAAAATGGCTGCGGCAGATTCTGTGCAGCAGAGACGTCAGTACAGACGACAGAACCAGCAGTCCTCATCTGATTCTGGCTCCTCTTCTTCCTCAGAAGATGAGCGACCCAAGAGGTCCCATGTGAAGAATGGTGAGGTAGGCAGGCAGCGGAGACATTCCCCTTTCCGGAGTGCCTCTCCATCACCTCCAAAGCGCCAGAAAGAGACTTCCCTTCGGATACAAATGGGGAAGCAATGGGAATCGCCAGTGACTAAAAGTGGTAGACGGAGGAGGAGTCCCTCCCCACCATCTACCAGAAGGCGACGTTCTCCTTCTCCTGCCCCTCCTCTTCGCAGGCGCAGGTGCCCCACTCCACCACCACGACTAAGGACTCCTTCTCCTCCCCCATGCCGGCGCTCACCTTCCCCAAGAAGATATTCTCCTCCAATACAGAGGAGATACTCTCCTTCTCCACCTCCAAAGAGAAGAACGGCTTCTCCCCCTCCCCCTCCTAAACGAAGGGCCTCACCATCTCCACCACCAAAGCGTCAGGTCTCCCATTCTCCACCTTTCAAACAAAGAAGCTCCCCAGTCACCAAAAGACATTCGCCTTCATTATCATCAAAGCATAGGAAAGGGTCTTCCCCTAGCCGGTCTACCCGGGAACCACAGTCACCACAACCAAACAAAAGGCATTCGCCCTCACCACGGCCTCGAGCTCCTCAAACCTCCTCAGGTCCTCCACCTGTTCGAAGAGGAGCATCATCATCACCCCAAAGAAGGCAGTCCCCTTCTGCAAGTACTAGGCCCATTAGGAGAGTCTCCAGGACTCCGGAACCCAAAAAGTCAAAAAAGGCTGCCTCACCAAGCACTCAGTCTATAAGGAGGGTCTCGTCCTCCCGATCTGTCTCAGGATCTCCTGAGCCAGCAGCTAAAAAACCCCCAGCACCTCAATCTCCTGTCCAGTCCCAGTCCCCCTCTACCAACTGGTCACCAGCCGTACTGGTCAAAAAGGCTAAAAGCCCAACCCCAAGCCCATCTCCAGCGAGGAACTCAGACCCAGAAGGAGGTGGAAAGAAAAAGAAGAAAAAGAAGGACAAGAAACACAAAAAGGATAAGAAGCACAAGAAGCACAAAAAACACAAGAAGGAAAAGGCCATGGCGGCAGCCGCCGCAGCAGCCGTCACCCCAGCGGCCCCCGCTGCCCCCACGACCACATCGGCACAGGAGGAACCAGAGACAGAGCCCGAGCCTAAGAAGGAGACAGAAAGCGAGCCGAAGACAACCTCGACGACTTAGAAAAGCACCTGCGCGAAAAGGCGCTGAGGTCGATGCGGAAGGCTCAAGTGTCCCCACAGTCTTAGGCAGGAATGTGTGTCACAATGTACATTTTATTTGCTTTGTACACAATTCAATTTCAAAATTGCTAAAATGTGTTTAAGCTTTAGACTATAACATTTGCTGTAATAATTGCTAGGTTGAAGTTCACCATGTAAAAAAAAGGGGGGCATGGATTTACATTGCAAAAGGTGTCCACAGTGTATTAGTGACATTCTTTCATTGACAGCTGACATAAATTCATTTAGACTGAAATATTTTAAGCCAAAAAAAGTCCCCTTTTTAAAAAAGGGGGTTTCAATATTGTTGGCATTCTTATGGTTTCTTTAAAGGCCTTGGCTATTCCCAGAGGTTTTCTTTCTTTTCATTTTTTTAAAAATTTTTTCTCATTTGAGTCTTAGCACCCATTTAAGTTATGATGCTTCCAACCTTGTATCATTTGCAAGCTTGCCCAGAAATAAGACCACTGTTGAACTCCCACAAAAGTATGTGAATATTTTAATGCCACAATTTTTCCTGTTGCCTGTGGAGTCTCTGCTGAAATGAATCAAGATTCAAGCTCTAGGACGAGATGGAAAATGAAAGCATGTTGTTTGCCAGGACACTTTGGGTTTATATTGATGTGTAACAAGTTGATTTGGAACACTGGAATTTCATTCTATTCTGTTGTGTTTTTTTTTGTAAAGGCAATTAACTAGTCCCAGGAAGGATCCTTCAGTTATATAAAAGTTTGTTTTATGAAATGTCATGGCTCCATTCATAATTTTGTCTTGTTCTTCCAATTGGTATATACAACCTTCAGAGCTCTCGTATTTGGAAGGCTGGAAGGGCCCAGACTTTGAAATAGTGTCTTTGTTTTCACTGTTTTTGTTTTTTGTTTGTTTGTTTGTTTTTAAACTAAAGCTATATAAAGCTTGTGGATTAAACAGAATAAATTTCTAAATTTAAAAAAATAAATAAAAAATAAAATAAAAACTTCCCACAAAGAAAAACCCAGGCCCAGATGACTACATTGGTGAATTCTACCAAACATGTAAAGAATTATATCAATCCTTTACAAACTCTTTCCCTCCCCCCTGAGACCAGGAACAAGACAAGGATGTCTGCTTTCACCACATTTATTTTTTTTAGATTTTATTTATTTATTTGAGAGAGAGAGGAAGAGGGAGAGGGAGAAGCAGACTCCCCACTGAGCAGGGAGCCCAATGCGGGGCTCTATCCCAGGATCCTGGGACCATGACCTGAGCCAAAGGCAGATGCTTAACTGGTTGAGCCACTCAGGCGACCCCCCACATTTATTTAACATCGTACTGGAAGTTCTAACCGGGGCAATCAGACAAGAAAGAAATAAAAGGCATCCAGATTACAGAAGAGGTAAAAAAAAAAAAGACATGATCTTGCATATAGAAAATCCTAAGGAATCAGAAACTATTAGAGCAATAAGTGAGTTCAGCAAGTTTGCAGGATACAAGATCAAAATATAAAAATTAATTGTATTTTTATACATCAGCAATGAACATGGCAAACATGAAATTAAGAAAGCAATTACATTTACAACAGCATCAAAAAGAATAAAACACTAGGTATAAATTTAACAAGAGAGGTGCAAGATGTATGCTGCTAATCATAAAATACTGTTGAAAGAAGTTTATTTTTTTAAAAGATTATTTATTTATTTATGTTAGAGAGAGAGAGATCTTATTTTAGAGAGAGCACGCAAGCTGGGGGATGAGCAGAGGGAGAAAAACAAGGCGACTCCATGCTGAGTGTGGGGCCCAATGTGGGGCTTGAGCTCATGTCCCTGAGATCATGACCTGAGCCAAAACCAAGCTGGACACTTAACTGACTGAGCTACCCAAGCACCCTGAAGTACTGTTGAAAGAAATTTAACAAAATCTCAGTAAATGAAAAGACTTCCCACTTTCACAGATGGAAAGACTTACTACTGTTAAGGTGGCAATACCTCCCAAATTGCTCTACAGATCCAACTCAATCCCTCTCAAAAATCCCAGCTGGCTTTTTTGCAGAAATTGGCAAACGGATCCTAAAATTCACATGGAAATCAAGAGACCCAGGAAGGCCAAAATCATCTTCAAAAAGAAGAATAAGGCTGGAAGACTCCTAATTTCCAACTTCAAAATGTATTACAAAACTTCAGTAGTCAAGATGGTATAGTACTGGTATGCAGGTAGGCATATAGATCTATTAAATAGAACTGAGAATCCAGAAATAAGCCCTGACATTGATGGTCGATTGAGGCTGGATGAAGATGGCAAAATAACTTAATGGAGAAAGAATAGTCTTTTCAACAAGTGTTGTTGGGAAAACTGCATATCCACATGCAAAAGAATGAAGCTGGACCGCTATTTCATACTACATACTCTATAACTCAATAACTCAAAGAACTCAAAATGACTGAAGACCTAAATGTAAAAGCTGAAACTATAAAACTCTTAGAATGAAACATAGGAGTAAATCTTCACAACCTTGGGTTCAGCAATGGTTTCTTCGAGACAACATCAAAGGCACAAGCAAAGAAAAAAATGAAAATTTAGATTACATGAGAATAAAAACTTTTGTGCTACAAACGATACCATAAAGAAAGTGAAAAGACTACTTGAAAGTTGCTAAAAGAGATCTTAAATGTTCTACACACACACACACACTCACACACACACACACAATAACTACATGAGGTAATGGCTAGGTTAACTAATCTTATTAAGGTAATCATTCCACAATATATACATGTATCAAACTATATTGTACACCTTAAACTTACACAGTGTTATATGTCACTTATATCTCAGTAAAGCTGGGCGGGGGGAGAAAGTGAAGAGACAATCCACAAAATGGGGGAAAATATTTGCTAATCATATTATCTGATAATGGACTTGTATCTAGAATACATAAAAAAGTCTTATAACTCAATAATGGAAAGGCACCCAATTTTAAAATGGGCAAAGGATTCAAATAGACATTTCTCCAAGGAAGACATACAAATGGCCCTTAAGTACAGGAAAAGACGCTCAACATCATTACTCATCAGGGAAATCCAAACCACAATAAGATTCTGCTTTACACCCACTAGGATGGTTATAATTTTAAAAATGGATAATAACAAGTTTTGGTGGGGAAATGGAGAAATTACCCTCATAGGTTGCTGGTGAGAGTGTAAAATGGTACAGCCACTTTGAAAAACATTTTGGCAGTTCCTAAAATATTTAAACATAGAGTTACCATACGACCCAAGAGAAATGAAAACATGTGTCCACATAAAAACTTGTACACACATGTTCTTAGAAGCATTATTCATAAGAGTCAAAAAGTGGAAACAATCCAAATGTCCATCAACTTATGAATGAATAAATAAAATGTGATATATACATACAATGGCATATTATTCAGCCATAAAAAGAAATCAAATACTGATACATGCTATGGCATGAATGAACCTTGAAAACATGCTAAGTGAAAGAAGCCAGTCACAAAAGATGACATATTGTATGATTCCATTTATATGAAATGTCAAGAATAAGCAAATCAATAGAGACAGAAAGTAGATTAGTAGCTATTTAAGGCTGATGATAAAACGGAGGCAGGTGGTGGGGGAGGAAAGGAGATGGGGAATCACAGCTAATGGGTAGGATTTTTTTAGGGGGAATGAAAATGTTCTAAAATTAGATTGTGGTGGTAATTGCACAACCCTGCGGATATAGTAAAAACCAATGAATTGTACACTTTAAATGGGTGAATTTTACAGTATGTGAATTATGTCTCAACAAAGTTGTTTTTTAAAAATTAATCACTGAGGGGCAAGTAGAAGTCACATAGATCCAGAGATGATCCCCTGAGTAGGATCCATCACTTTTGTGGTATTCTGGCTAGGGAGAAGTGACTGAAACCTAATCCTAAAAAAACAGGACAGAAAGTGTGGACCGTTCTGTATGATAATTTGTCTATATCCTTAAAAATTGTCAGTGTCATGAAGGACAAATGAAGGCTGAGACATTTACATGATTAGAGCTTAATAAGACCTACGCTCTGTGATACTGAACTGGATTGGATCCTAGCCTAGAGGAAAAAATGCCCTAAAGAACATATTAACAAAATTGGAACTAGATTGCAGATTAAAATATCGAATCGAGGTTAAATTTCCAGAACTCCATAAATGCACTATGGTTAGGTAAGAAAGCATCTTTGTTATGTGGACAAAAACCTACAAGTAAGAGGCATGGTACATGCAATCTACTCTCCCACAGAGAGATTAGAAATCAACATAAAAGAATATATATGAAGCAAAGCAAAGGAGTGATGATCACAGAAGTCAGGAGACTAGTGGGGAAGGAAGGGATATAATTAGAGAAGGACTTGAGGGGGGCCTTGCAGGCAAGGGAGAGGGCAGGGGAGTACTGTTCTACGTTTTAGCCAGGGTGACAGAACACAAGTATTTATATTATTATTATTGTCCTTGAAAGTAAGCTCTTTCCTGGATTTGTTACATTTTACAGTTAAAAAATAATTTGAAAGGAATAAATCTAAATTCCTATACCAACAATCTAAAAGAAAGCCAAAATCAGAATAGTCTAATCAATCTATAAGATTATAGAGTATTTTCTAGGACTCGCTTCTGTTACTCAGTATTATGATTTTGATAAATTTTCCCTGTTAAAAACATCTTGTTAAGGTCTGCCTATTAAATTAAAAAAATTATTAATTCTGGATAGTGGGTAATAGATGAATAGTTAATAGTTGAATTCTCTACATTTCTGAGGCTTTTTTCTTATGATTTAAAATAAATTTAAAAGTGCATGCCTTGGGCACCTAGGTGGCTCAGTCGGTTAAGTGACTGACTCTTGATTTTGGCTCAGGTCATAATCTCAGGGTCGTGAGATCAAGCCCTGCATCTAGCTCCACACTCACCAGGGAGTCTGCTTGAGATTCTCTCTCCCTCTGCTCCTCCTCTCTCTCTCTCTCTAAAATAATAAGTAAATCAATCTTAAAAAAGAAAAAAAAATAAGGGGCACCTGGGTGGC